AAGTGATTCAACACGGAGAAAGCTGGAGAGAGAAATCAAAACTCAGAACCTGGGGAAGCTGAATTGAAGTGGAATTATAACAAGATTTTAGGCAGCTTCACAATTAGGATTTTTTTTAAAAAAAACTTCCACTTGTGGGGTTTCCGGTTTCTCACACACCAGGCTAAACATATTTATGACTCGAAGACAGTAACTCTTGCTTTCTCTCCACAGATGCTGCCAGACCTGCTGAGTTTCTCCAGCGATCTGTTCTTGTTTCAGATTTCCAGCTGTCTTGGCTCATAGCGTGTAGCCAAATTTTTTTTTTCAAATTCACTTAAACATAATTGAGAAGGCTTGACAACAGCGATTGCTTAAATATGAATGTTTACTAAGTAAGAATAATGCTTATAATGGCAACAATAAATGATCACAGTGGTAATAATAAATGGAAAAGAGAATAAAAAGAAGCAACGAGTCTCATGTTCTTCTGCCTGTCGGGGACCCCTCAAATCGATGGCTGGTCTGGAGGCTGAGGTTCGTTCCTGGCACTGTTCACGATTCTGAGCCGAAACGAAGTCCAGCAATTTGGAACGAAACTCTCTCTCTCTCTTTGTGACAAACAGCCAGCACAAAGAAAGCAGATACAGAAGACAAAACACAGCTACAGGAAAACAAGCTGCAGGTGTCGTCTTCAGCCCCTAAAGGAATGTTAACCAGACTCATCCAAGGTCATGCAGCTTGTACAGTATCATCAACAATTTTAGCCCTTCAGCCCATCTTACACAACCTATCTTCTCATGCAGCTGTCAAGTATTATCATTAACTTTTAGCCCTTCAGCCCATGCTATAAGCCAGCTTCTGCAATTTTTATTTTCTGTTATTATGAAGGTATTTATATTGGATTAGAAAAACAGACTACTTGAACTGTTCAAAGAGGTCTTGAGCCAAACTGGTCTCTTGTTTTGTAGTTTTCAAGTAGACAATTCATGGAAGGTGGGAGTGGAGAATACATTTGATTAAAAAGGTTCAATTCCACCCTCAGGTGACTGTGTGGAGTTTGCATGTTCTCCCCGCCGTGTCGGAATGAGTTTCCTTCTGGTGCTCCAGTTTGCTTCCACAGTCCAGGGATGTGCGGGTTAGGGTGGATTGGCCGTGCTAAATTGGCCCATAGTGTCCAGGGA